CAGTTTGCTGATGGTACCAGTGTGACTGACTGTGTGTATGTACATTTCATTTCACCACCACAGTATATGTATGATGTTACATGTGTGCTTTGTGTATATGTGTGTCATATAGTCTGTGCTTAGTTTCTTATTTCTTCCTACTGCATTTCTATTTTGAGTGTATGTCCACAGTACAAAACTTAAAATGTTAAGTGGGTCATTCTGCAAGCTCTTTATGTAGACTTAGTGCCTCTATTCTCAGACAAGATGCCAATAACAGTGTGCTGGAGTCACTCAGTCTCAGCGTTTTACTGCTGGAAAAGATTATAGGACTGTCCTGTGTCTTTTCACTTAACTTCCTTTATGATTTTCCTTGCTTTTCAGGGTGCTTATTTTTTTTTTTGGAATGGTGTTTCTGATGGCGTTTGGTATTACAGCACTGCAAAATTATGAGACTCCAATGAGCAGCACCATTGGGGGAGGGAATCTAAATTCCTTCTTAAAGCAAATAAGTATTGTTTTAGGACAGAAATGTCTCAGTTTTGAATTGTTGTCGTAAATGTTGTTGGTTTGCTTCTTGTTTTTGTTTGATAGATAAATGTAAACAGATCCATGCTTTCTAGACTACGTATTGATTTTTAAACTGGTAGTTTACAAAGAGTAATGCAGGTTATAAGTTAATTAAGTGTAATACTGACAGCATTAGCTTTGTTTATAAAATGATGGACTGGCAAGATAGCCATTTTAAGGGTGAACATTGCATCAAAAGTTCTGATAGCATTTGTTTTGGAAAAAGAATGAAAGCAAGTTGAGAATCTTTTATTACAATCTGAATTACTCTTCATATTTAGAAAGCGAATCTGAGGATAGTTCAGATAATGAACCTTTAATTAAAAAGCTGAAGAAACCACCCACGGATGAAGAAATCAAAGAAACTGTCAAGAAATTGTTGGCCAATGCAAATTTGGAGGAAGTCACAATGAAACAAATCTGCAAGGAGGTAAGCAGGTGTTTTAGGAGTTCTTTGGGGGACAGTGAGTTGTCTGTAAGTTGACTTTTGTCATCTTGTTTTGTAAACTATGGCTTACAGCTTACACAACATTTCTGGAACAAAATGGTTTGCCTTGATTTATTTACTGACAGCTACTACTAGGAGGGCTTAATCTTAAAGTATGCAATGCTGAATGTTCCACAGGGGAATGAAAATCTCTAAATCAAAAATAGCTACATGGTAACAGCACTACTTTCCTTCAAAGCAACTGCTGCATGTTAAGGTGCAAATATTACAGCTGTTAAGACAGTGCAGCAGATTTTTGCTGTCAAAAGGGAAGGACTGTGCTGCTCTGTGCACATTCCTGCTTGCCTTGCTCTTGCTCTTCTTGTATCCTTTGAGTCTGTTCAGTGCTACCATCGCAGAGTAAGTGAATAGTTTTCAGCTGAGTTAATGAGTTGTATAAACTGTGCAAAGAAGCCATTGAGCTTCAGGACAGGAGCCACGGAGGAGTGTGGGTGGAAAAGGGAAAAGTGACCATCACACAGACAACACTGTTTCCTTGTCATTTCTTACAGTAGGATAAGTCTGAAATGTGGTGAGCTGGAATAAAATTTTCTGCATTCATTGTCTGCATTGGCGGTGGTGATGGTGGTGGTTGTTTAATTAGTTTGATATCCCTTCACTTCTCCTTCATGATGATTAACCAGAGAGTTATTGTAGAATAGCACTGAAATATATTGATGCTTATGTTGGTAACTTGGAAGATGACAATTCCACTTATTACAAAAAAATAAGTAAGCATTTATTTTGAAACCCTATATAGGTTTCACTTGATTTTTTTTTTAAGAGGGTATTTGTCTGCTTAGAAAATGTGTAGGACAAACATTGGAGAACTCTTGATTTGCTTGACATGGCAGGTTAGACATTCCAATTTGTTGATATGTTGTCAGTAGCATCTTAGTCAGTGACCAAACATAGAAAATAAATTTATTTAGATTTCATGGTCGAAATAAGGACAGGGAAATAAAAGTAATTTTCCATAATTAACAGAGGGAGTTCTGACAGTTTTATAATACTAGAAGTACAGCACTGGTTTTGCTCTAATTTAATTTAAGCTTCTATTCATAAAGTACACTGAGTGGAAGTAACTCAAAGTTGTACTTTTTTTTTTTTCTAGGTGTATGAGAATTATCCCAGTTATGACTTATCTGACAGGAAAGACTTCATTAAAGAAACAGTCAAAGAGGTAAAGAATTGTTTAGAAACATTTTTCCAAGTCCAACAGAAATTGGCATGACATAACTTTACACCAGTTGTAATAACTTCCTGTGTAGTGTTGGAAGCATCCCAAACCTCATTGTTTTGATAAATGTGAATACTGGCTTTTTTTGCCCTTCTTTTTTGGCTCCCCTTATGTGGGGTGTGTTGAGTGGTTTTGTTGGTTATTGGTTTTTGTTGCTGCTGTTTGTTTTGTGGTTGCTGGGTTTTTTTCTGTATTCCTCTTCCTAAAATAACTGGTCCAGACCTTTTTTTTCTTAGCATGTCATTACTACTTTGAGTTTCTTTAGTAAGCAGAACTAAAATTAGAGCTCTCCGAATTTTTGATGACTTGACTCTGAAGGCTGTATTTTCTTCCAATTGCAGCTTTGGCTGCAAGTTGCTTTGTAAATCATGCACTGACCACTGCTAACAAAACACAGGTGGTGTAAGCTTCGTAGACTGGGAAAGCTCTACAAACGAGAGAAGGAAATTGGATACAGAGAGCTTTTCTCTATATTTGCCCCTTTTCACTGATAACACAGTTAGGAAGCTGCCTATGAGGTTTTTTTCTTGCAGGTTCACTTGCAGGTGTTGAAATGATATGTGACTGTCTAGAAAATAGTTACATCTGTGTGCTGTGCTGTGTTGTATCAGCAAAGACGTAAGAGTAATCTGTTTGCTGGAGGGATTCTTGGCCTTTCGTGCCTGCAAAAGTTGAGTGCATTTTCTTGATTGCCTCTCCTTTAGCAGCAGACTATGTGTACGTTGTAGGTAGATGTAGAGAAAGGAGAAAAACTAATACACTTCTCATTTCAGTTGATTTCATGATCTGATTTGACTGGCAAGTTGAAGATTCCTGATTTTGTTTCCGTGGATTTGAAGATATGATAGGCACCAGCAAAAGGAATGTGTCTTAGCCTTGTGGTATTTAGTCAGAACTGATTCTGCTGATCTGATGCTAAGAGTGTTAATGTAAATCGTGTCGTGTATCTTTTTTTTTTTAAAGAAAAAAAAACAACAAAACATGCATTTGATGCACGTTTTAGTTGAACATTCTTAAGTTTTGTGCATGGTAATAAGTGTTCCCTTTTTTATAGCTTTTGTACATCTTGGATTGCTTTGAATAATTTGATTAGAACCATCACAGCTTTTTAGTCTGCATTACTAGCTTGCAGAAGATTTAAAAATCAAGATGAAAGCTGTTTATCTATGGATATACATGCAGAGACTTGAATACTGCATTACTGGTTTTAAAAAAAAAGATTGAATATATATCCATTCTAAAAAAAAAAACAAAAAACAAACAGGAGTTAATGGCATGTTAATGTTTTTCATAGTCTGAAACATTCTACAGATGCAGAATTATTCTAGATTGTCATTACTGTCTTGCATGTTTAGGCACTTGGAATTGTCAAAGCATGGTAACTAATTGGCATATAGATGTTATTTTTGTACTCTTAAAAGGCTTTCTGTTGTGTATATAAAGTTATTTCTGATTTCTTTTCAAATCAGTTTTTAATCTTATCTTAGAGAATTTATGACATGAAATGTCAGTGTTCAGCAGTGAGGCTGTGATGGAAGGAGAGATGCAGAAGTCTGATTAAACTAGGAATGAGTTGAGGTTTTACAATGTTTTTCCCATCTTGTACAGAAATGAAACTGTAGTTTTATACTTAAGCTTTTCAGTGTTTAATTTTGTACAAAGACTACAGATACACTTGTTTCAATGGCTTGACCTTATAAATAAAGCCCCTGTAAAGAGTATAGGATACTTTTTTTCAAATCTCACTTTGCAAAAAAAAATCTTTTAGTGTTTGGACTTGATGGCCTGATGTCTCAGAAGTGGATATCCATGATGTACAGTTAGGAGGTGTGATAGCTTTGGAAGTCCCCAATGGGGTTTCTGACTTGGGCTTTACTACGTGATCGTATGGGAGCATCTTCTGAACCTCAGCCACGGTGCCTCAACGTGTGTGCTGGTACTTGTAAGTCTGCAGTCTTGAACTTTGACCCACAGCTTTTTGGATCAAAGTGAACTCTTTGCATATCTGTTTCTGCTCTTTTGGTTTCTGTTTTCCAAATACATTGTAGCTAATATGGAAAGTCCTACACTTAACATGTGAACTAATAACAGACGCTGAAGTGTGGGCTGCCATTAATGCCAAAAGTAAAGAATCCCTCTGACTACAGTATTAATGGGAAGACGAAGCATATTTTTGCATTTTATTATTGTACAGTTGGGAAATAAGTGTTCATAAGTAATCTAAGTTCTGAAAATGTTCAGCCAGTTAGGCCTACTCAGTCATCACATATTTTGACTTTCTTTGCGTGTAATCATTCATAATAAGGCTGAATGTAACGGGGTTTTTTATTCAATAAATGTCTTTCACAAAAATGTAAATCAATGTTGATGGTACGTTTGCTTAAATGTATAGTAAAAATAATTATACAGAAACAAGGCTGTTGTCTTCATCTCGTTTGGTAGAAACTACCTAAGCCTACATCAGCAGGCTTAGGAGATTGTTGCTGAAGGGCTTGTCTTTGCAATAAGACCTAAAATTATATACTCTGTGACTTTTTTTTTCCTCTGAAATATTTGAGTATTAAGAATACTTTGTAAATTTTAATTATAGAATTAAAAACTGGGGGCTTCTACTTCCACTAGCAGTCCCAGCTAAAGCTGTTAAGTTACTTGTGTCAAGTCTTATTGTGTTTTCACGTGGATTTTTAATAATAGTAATTTAAACCATGTAACTTTCTTGTGATAGATATTTTAATATACCAGTCAGTTTTTATTTTGGGGAGTCAGGAAATGTTTTTATGGCAAATGACTTCCAAGTATAAATGTTTCTTACTGTGTAAATTCTTAGGAAGGAATAGTGTACAGCTATTTATTGTGTACGTGCATTCCTTGCTATTTTGGAATTGTGATGATGGAATGGAAATGGACTTGGCAACTGTCAAAGATTGTGTTACAACATCTTAATTGCATCTAAGTGCAGTTCTCAGCTGAGAAGAAATGTCTGAACTATTTCTCAGGTAATCCATTCCAGTCTAGCTGTAGCTGATACATGATTCCACTGTGTGGAAGGCTGTGAGACCAGTACTAGAAGATACATTAAAAAATCTGTTTTTCCTGATGCTATTGGATGTGAAACACAGCTGATCAGAGCTCTAAATTCTATACAAAATAGGCACAGAAGTTAACAGAATAGTGTGTTTAGGGCATATACCCTCAAAAAAGTTCAAGATCATATCCTGACCGTAGTATTCTAAAAAAAAAACAGTCTAACTTCTTGATTTAATTTGCTTACAGTGTAATTCCTGCATGCCTACAGTGTGTTTGGTTCTTTTGTTTATTTAAGTCTTTGGTATTCAGTGTTTTTGTTGGTGACCTGCACAAACATATACATTAACCTGAATGGCTTGATTACACAAGCAGCTGTTTTCATGAGTGATCTTGGTGGTTGGAGTGAGTGCATGGGTCCTGTAGGAGAAAGAAGACAGAGGGGGTTAGGTGGGGAAAAGGTAGAGCAGAAATTTGGAGGGAGGATGCTATAACTCTTTAGACAGAGCTGAGTTGAAGTTCTGGGGTTATCCATGGTATACTCAGGTACATCTGCATGAATTTAGAGGAGGCACCACTAAACAGGGCTTAAAAATAAACCTTTTAGAGCTCAGTGCTTAATTTGGAATACTGCCTTTAGCAGTCAGCATGGCAATTCTGGGAAGGCTTATCAGGTCTTATGCTGTTTCAGAAAGAAGGTGCCTCGTGACTGCTTGGGAAGTTTTCAAATCAGAAAGTTGTATGGCAAATGAATACTTTAGGTTGGAAGAGACTTCCAGAAGTTATCTGGTTCCAACCCCCTGTTCATGTCGACTGTAATCAAGTAGCTTTCAGTGAGCCAGATGAAAAAAGCAGTCAGCTCAGGAATGTTTTCATTTTTTTTCTTTCTATTACTTTTATTTTAGTTCTTGTCAATTAGAACACTGGGAAATCTATAAGGTACCAGAATATTTTGTCTGGAACCTTGCAATAAGCAACTTAAAAGTCTATGCTTCTCTTGCTGAAAATTTTTAAGAAAGTTATGTTATTTTTGCTTTTCAAATAGATGTCTTTGAATTCAGAAATATTTATAAGAGCAAGTAGCCAGAAGTTGTATATCAAAAAGTATGTTCAGATTGATTTACAGGAGAAATGGGCTGATGGGAACACTACAAAGTTTAGCAAATGCAGAACCCAGCATCTGGGAATAATAAGCCCATGTAACACTTCAGAAGGGGACAAACTCCTTTCTTTCTAAGCAACTTTGAAGAAAATTTGCAGAAAAAGACCTGGGAAGGAGCAAATGGTGATGCATCCAGTAATTTGAACGGAGTTCACCTGTATGCCCCTGTGATGGAACATGGGTTTATAACACTTGTGTAGCCAGTAGATCAAGAAAAGCAAGTATTTCCTTAAGTTCAGTACTTGGGAACCTCCCTTGGGACTGTTGTGCTCAGCCTTGGGCTCTGTGAGATATGGAAGGTGGGGACATCCTGGAGTGAGTCCAGTGGAAGGCCACCAAGATAACAGGTGTGGAGCACATGATGTACGAAGGGATGCTGAGCAAGCTGAGCTTGCTCATCCTTAGGGACAGGTAAATGGGGTCCATATTGCAGCCTGCAACTGCCAAGTGAGAGAGTAGAGAGCAGGCAGGGGATGGGAGGATCCCCATTACCAGAAGTGGTCAGGTGGGGCCCTGAGCAACCTGCCTTACAGTGGACCTTCTCTAAGAAGGAACTGCAACCAGATCATCTCCAAAAGTTCCTACTGACTTGAACCGTGATTCTATGAGAATGGATGAAATACTTTGCATTTCTTGAGAAATTCATTATTTGAGCAGTTGTGTTGCTCTGAAACATCTAATAAGTTTGCGGTGATGGAAATAATGCTAAGCTCCAACAGGTGTAGTTTGGTGAAATTCAGAGGGTCTTTATACTGCAAGTGTGATGGTCTTTGGTTATTTTATACAAAGCAACTGGTTGGGAGGAGGGAGAGAAACTTAGAGTCTCTTACTAATAAAACATTCATAATTTTGTCCATGTCTAATACTCAAGTCTGCAATAAAATCTGCTCTCTTAGAAGAATCTCAGGCCATAAATTTAGTAAAAGCCTGGCCTCTCACTTGTTCTGTGGATGAGGGGATAGCACTGCTAGCACATTTGCCATGCCTTTCTTCCTGAGCTTGTTCACTGGATTGCAGCTTAAACTTACTACTTACTTCACTCTCATTTATGAACTAAATTTTGGGCTAATGTTTTAGAACTAAAATGAGAGAAAACAGAAATCTGTAACACCAGCTACTTTATTGAGTGAGAATTGGGGGCAGTGATACCATCTACTGATTTGTAGTACCCAATTTTGGAAGTAGCATTGGTATTTTTTTCTGCTTTAAAGATTCTCAGTGTTAGAATGAAATTACAGGTGCTGGGGTCTTGAAGAATGGTAATGAAAATTCAAGGAAGAAATAACACCACAACTGCCCTGAGGATACTTTCCAGTTTTATTCTGCTGCCATACATAGTCACACAGAAGAATTGAAGTGTAACAGATCATGCTCTGCATTCAAATATGTTTGATAACATTTAAACAAATCTGCTCAATAAAACATTCCCTAGTTCTTTATTTGCAGGGAATAAATTAAACACAAAAATAAAAACACATACATGCTTGGAATAAAATTTGACATGAGCATTTAAAAAAGAAAACTGGGGGAACATTAAGAATGAAGCCTCAGAACCAGCCTGATGTTCTCATATATTTTAAATGAACATAAGGTAAAGTGGAACATACTTATTTTTATTTACTCCTCAAACTTAAGTGCAGCGCAACACCATTTAAGTGTCTTAGCACAAAAATAATATACAAATAATTAATAGACAGTTATTGATTTAAATTTATCATTTCTTATGTTAATGCTATAAGAAGTGTGCAGCAGCTAAAGCCAAATGTGATAGTATTTGTTCATGGCCTCCTCTGTTCTCTAGAGTGTCATTTATCTACCTGCCAAGTTATAGATAGATTTAAAACCCCAAGAACAAATTATCAGGATGGAAGCACATGCCTGAATTAAGCACGTTCATGCAAATTTTTCAACTGTAGAAATGAAGCTGTGTTCATCTTTCTAGGCAGTTTTTTTCTTGAATAAGTGATTAGTTATGAAGCTGACAAGTTTTGACCAAGGTCAGCAGAAGCAGCCATTGAATTGAATTAATGTTTTGAGCTCGTTGCATTAAGCTTGTTTAGAATCATAGGATCAGTAAGGTTGGAAAAGATCACCAAGATCCCATCACCCGTGCCCACTTAACAGAATCCCTCTGTGCCACATCTGCCCTTTCCTAGAACACTTCCACGGATGGTGATTCCACCACCTCATATGTGATAAGCTAGGAAAAAAACTTGGAACTCAAATACATACAGCTCTCAATCTTTCCTGGTTAAGCTATAAGTGAGCCTGTAATGTGTGGAGTTAACAAAGTGCAAATAATTACCAAAAGCAAAATCTGATGTTTGATTATCTTTTATCAAAGGATTTTGTCTTGCTTCTTATAGCCTTTAAATTACAATTTAATATTTGGAAATACTTTAAAACTGTACATACTAGCCTTTATGTAGAGAAAAATTATGAACAGTTACACTTTTCCTATTAATCCACATAATTCAGCTTTAAGAAGCAGAACAATATATATCTGAAAAACATTAGTTATATAAACATCTTCACCTTGTAAATTAGAGATTAAATAAAGATATTTAACAATATCATTGCTACTCTAAGAACAAATTATTAGGTATTTAAAAAGAATTGCATTTATTCAGTAGCATTTGTCTTAACGTTGCTTTTGTTTTTTCTAGTGATACAGCTTTATGGAAATAAGGAAATAAGCACTGTTAAAAGCTTAAAAAGCTTGCTGTGTCACTCTTACATGAAGAGATCAAAACATAACAAGAAGGGGGAAGAAGAATAAGTGCTTACTGTCCTTCCAGAAAACACGAGGCAGTAAAGTTACATGGAAGGTATGGCAGAAAAGTACTAAAAGTTGGTTTTAATTTTTGTTTCCCACGAATACCATTTTAGTGGAACAGTATTACAACAGGTATCGTGATCGTGCCTGTCTGATTTCTACTGAAAAATACTTTGTCTTCCCCGTCTCATGGAAAAACTATTAGATAGATGCTTAGCCCTTACTGAATAACTCCCACAAGTTGTTTTTAATTATACTTTAATAACAAAAGAAAAAAAAAAACAACTTCAAGTCAAAGTGCATGCTACCTTGTTTCAGCCCTTCATAAAGTGTTAATATTTTTCCTCATTCATCTTCACTTATTTTTTAAATATGAAAGCTGAATGAGCTGTTGGGAACTTACAGTTCTTTTCTCCCCCTGCACTGTGCACTCATTGCAGTAATTAGTTCCTCTACTCAGCCCAAATGAATTTGGAGTTTTTCTCAAAATAATCTTAGAAATAGAGTATTCTCAAGCTATCCTTTTTCTACATGATCAGAAGCACTAAGCAAATCTAAACTTACCCTACTGTAACAAGGATTTCTCTGAATTAAGTAACAGGGAAAACATTTCAAAGTTGTTTTTAAAGTAACGTAAAAGTTAATCTTTACTTTCAAGTTTTTATTAGCTACAATAACCTATGATTGCACTGTAAACTGTTCCAGCAGTCTGATTTAAAGGAACAAACTTGATATTCCAAAGCCTGGGTGGTGGAGGCTAAGAATATGAGAAATACTGTAGAAGAGATTGTTGATTGCAAGTAGAAACAACGATAGCTGAGTGCCTTCCTACAGTAATTCTAGAGTTTGTCTGGATTATTCAGGCTTTTGGGAGCAAGTTTGAACTCCTCTGAGCATAATCAACCTGAGAAGCACAGTTAGTGGAAAACTCCCATTCTCCCTTTACTAACTGCCAGCATTTTTAATGCTGTATGTTAACTTCATCTTGCTTTAATATGACCTTCTGAAATGAAGATCTACAATATCATGACTTAAGCCACACAGGAAAGGACTTGCAACAAAAGTTCTATTAGTTAAGCTGTGGCCAGAGACTCCAATGTCACTCTTGCTAGTGATATTTTAGATGAAAAGAAAAACAAACAAACAAACAAACAGCAATATGTATCATTAGGGCTTAAGAGGGGAAACAAAAAAAAGCAGGAAAAGGAAGATGAAGATTTTATCTTCAGGTACCATATACTATTGAAGTACCACTTGGAAAAAAGGCAGCAGATAGGAAACTTGAAGATAGTTTTACCCACAGAAAACAATTTAAAACATATTTATAAGCACAAAAAAAAATTCATAATTAAAATGCTGCTATTTTGCTGGCTTCTCGAACCCCACTCAGGTAAGCTCCTGTAACAGTTTGAGGAAAGTGCCTGTTTGTGGCCTGTATTAAAAAAACAAACAAACAAATTAATTAATTGTTTCTAGAGCTATTAAAACAGATATAAAATGAAAAGTTCAGATCAGTTCTTTTTTACATAGGCACGTGCCAACATTTTAAAAGGCTATGGAAAACTTAGTTGAAAGAATTTTAAAGGAAAGATTGACAATTTTTGACAGCATCAGAATCTGCAAAGCAAGTCAACTAGCAACATTAGTTGTCTGTTTTGCTGTAAGCACTTTAGGGAGACATTTAAGTACTATTTCAAGGTAGAATGCACCCGTACCATCAGCAGCATACATCTGTTATGTTACCCAGTAACAGAAAGATAATTTGACTAAAAATACAAGTGGAGAGTGTGTTCTTTTCATATTCTGCTCTTACTGGTTATGCAGCTCACTCTCAGCCTGGGATACATGGTGAACTATCTATGCCCAACAATAGGAATCAAGAGAGGTCTGTGTCAAAATGAAGAAACATTAGTATATTTGTGTAACAATATACTTACATGCTACCTCTAAGTTAATAACTGGTGGCTACCACAAAACAATCTTTCATAAATAGTTCCCCAGTAAACTTAAATCAACAGTAACAAAGATGCTTACCTCACCAGCAAAAAAAATTGTTCCTTGGATGTCTTCAGCTATAATGTCATAAGCTTCACCACTGCCTCCTGTTTTTACAAAACTATATGCCATCTGGAGCCAAGGGTCTTTGCTCCATCGAGTAACAAAAAACTTCACTGGGTCAGGAACCTCCTGTATAATTAGAGTGAAACTTATGTGCTACAAAGAAGTGCTCACATTTATGTAGCTTTCCATAATTCTTAGGGAGCATGCAGTATAATTATACTACAGATTGGATCTATAGATGGGATTAAATTCCTGAATCAAATCCCAGTTTTATTTATTATGGCACTAAGCACTGAAGATAATTTGTTTGCTAGAATTGCCTGATGTTTGAAACATTACAGTTCCTCTGTTTTGAATGCAACAAATGTGGATACTGTATCAAACCTAGAAATACAAAGGTAAAAAAAGAATTCCCCTGTCACAATAATACATAATCTTGCAAACAGATAAAACACCAGCATCAACGAAATTCAGCATGTTTGTGTGTGCAGTCTGAGTTCCTATTACATCTTAGTAAGATGTAATAGTTTGTGAATTGTAGTTTAAATCTCAAAATATAATTTTCATTTTGCAGATTATTTTATTCCAGTGAAGAAATAAATTGACTTGTCTAAAATCAGAAAACAAGCTGGTTTGAAAGCCAGATTTAGGGAGAAACAAAAAGCAAGTCTGTAATTAAGCTGTGATTGTAGTACTGTGTATTTTTTGTCACATTGCAGTGTGAGTTCCACTCCATTCTACTAGAAAGAGCCTGAATAACTCTATGAAGGCTCACTTAGCTACAGCTGTGTCTTACTCCTAAGGGGCTTGTGAGAAGTAGACAGAAACACCACTGATTGCCTCCTTCACAGCTTCTGGTATCGACAAATAGACAGTTCCATTCAGGTCACCCTCAAAAAACTAATGTTCAAGCAAACAAAACAATTGCTAGCCAAAGAGATACATGTGGCAGGTTGCACAGACATCCTAGAGGGAGGTTTTGGTATGGCACGCAAAGCTACCTTGTCCTTGAAAATCCTGCAGTGCTGTCAAGAGATGGCTAAAATTCACAACTGTGTTAAGCCATGGGGACAAAGACATGGGAATCATCCTTCTAGACTAAACCAGCACCAAACTGAAGACCTCTTTGCTGCCTGTACGTTCTGATGAGGTGAAAATAGCAGGTATGTGGACTTTCATTGCCTGCAATTCTGGTAACTGTAAAGCCGTTACCAAAAGTATGTTTTCTAAGAAAAAAAAGGCTTTCAGATGCCAAAATTTTTCCAAGATCATTAGTCCCAACATCCATGAACATTAACACTGAGCATTCCTTGAGATGTAACTGTTACAAATAATTTAGCTGTAAAATATTACAGTTTGTTAAGCAGAGTGAAAATAATGTTGTTCATTGAGAGTCATCTGCTTGCCCCACATTTGTCTGATTCTCTTGTTAGCGTTTGTCCTGATAAGCTGGTATCTGGATGGGGTAAGCAAAGGAATTTTTACCTCTTGTTTCTTTACAGTCAGGATTTAGGACCCTTGACTGATCATGTTGCTTGTACCCTTACCATAAGGCATCTCTGAAGGCTGTTTCTTACTAAAAGAATAATTTCCCCCCCTACACAGCATCCGAATTTGGTTTTTACCATAGCTCAAAAGAAGCATTTCCTCAAACACACAGGAAAAGAAAAATAGTCAAAAATATCAAATGTTTTCCTGTACATCATGAAGTAATACAATCAGAAGCTTTATGTCTGTTGGCACGTTCATTCACATCTGTTAAGAGGTTTTTCTTACCTGCTCCTTAAACAGCTCTCGAAGTACAGTCATACATTGTTGTAGTACTTGTTTGTCATCTAAATTCTTAATGGTTGTCACAGCATCTCCAGTGACCACTGACATTAAAATGCTTTGTTTGCCCTAGAAAACAAAATAATAACATAGAATATCACTTCAAAATTTTCATTTTAATTACTAATTTTAATTACTATTGACAAAGATATTTTTCAGCTACAGAATAATTTTTGTTCTAGACAAAATCAGCTCTGATTCTGTAGAATAAAGGCTTCCTATTTTTCAATGTTTATGCTCCAGTTACTAACATCCTCTGATGTCTTGTTAACAGAAACCTGTATGAGAACAGTCGGCCCCTCTCATAGCTCACAGAATTAACTGAAAACTCCCTGTATACCTATTGGAAGACTACACCCAAAAATTTGACCTTTGAGACAGACCTCTCAAACTCCCATGCCAAAACTTCACATCAACTCTACTCCGATTTCAAAAGATGGTAAAAGAGATGAGCTATTTAAATACTAGCTAGATATGTTTTGGATTGGAGCCAATGCTGAGTTCTTAGCAGCTGATTTTGGCCCAAGAAATGAAAGCTCAGTTCTCATGATGCTTCCTTTCACTTCAGGAAATCCGCTGTGATTCAGTAGTTTCAAAGATTAAGCAGTAACCACAGAATACTAAACAGATTCTCAAAACCTTTCATGAATTCTCCTTTTATCTATACCATAAAGACAATATCAGAAAATACCTGTCAAGCAAGTTATTAATTGTGTGAGCGTTTCTGGAAAGCATCAGCATGCTGAATCTCATATAGAATGAGCTCATAAGAATTAAGGAGATGACAAGAAGACTACATGGAAAGTCATATACAGGTATTGATATTTTAATGGCATAGCACAATATTGACAGGATAGTTTCTTTTCACAATAAGCCATGAAGTTCCAAAAGAACTTCTAGTCAAGTAGTAAGCAGCACTTGTTAAAGCATGAAGAAGTAGGTTAAATGTGTAGTGTGTCTGTTTGGCCAGGGAAGGGAAACAAAATGTCAATACATTGGTTTGAACTGGTTTTGAGACTGACCCTGCAGATTTCATATTCATGCAAAACCTAGTACTTGTCTTCTGCAACTTCATAAAGTCACTTTGGCCAGTGCAAGCCACTAAGTATTAATAAGCCAACATTGTCCTTCTTAGCTGGTTTAAGTAAGGAATTATAAGTCCTAAACTTGAAGTAACAGACAGGCTTTTCCAACTTTGTTCATCTGTAGTCAGATCTTACACACTTGTTTTCAGAATAGCTTTGATACTAAAAGTATTAATATACTTATGTATTATTTTGCACCCAGACCTGGGAAAATATTGCCATTAACTACAAAAAAGTATAAATCAGCTTTTTTCTTGAGAAATAAAAGTGATTCCACTTAATTTAAAAGGAAGAAAAAAAAAAAATGGGGGGAAAGGAAGCTTTCATTTTTCAGTAATTATTGCATTTAGATTCCAAACCGAAATTTCTGAAGGAGCAGCAGAAAATACAGATGGAGTATGTTACCTCTGGATCCATGTCATAGAAAACACTGAAGAGTCCACGTTGGCTGGAATTGGGTGGAACATGACCAAAAAAATCAGCACCTTGAATTTTACTATCCCAAAATCTATAAGGAAACTGCAATGCAATCTAGAAAGAGAGAGAGATGGAGTCAAAGAATTTCATAGCACACCACAAAGCTCATAACTGTTCATCTAATCGTTTTTCCCTTTTCTACTCAATTTTCAACACAGTTTTCTGAGGGAGGTCTCAGAAATTGAAAATACACTGAATTAAATTCACCATGAAATTCACTATGGAAAATGCACAAATTTGGCAGAGTTTTTTACAAGCCTAATGCAGAACTCAGAAATTCTCTGTAACAGATGAGGATTAGTGAATCTTGCCTTTAAATTTCCACATTGATGTAGTATTGTTTTTGGCATTACTTTCATTACTGTTTTATTCTATGTCATTACTGATGAGGGATCTTTTCAGGAGCAGCTCTCTTTTTCCACTAGGAAGAGTTAAAGGATCTTACAAGCTGGTCAAATACACAGCTTTTGGTATTCTTCCAAAATAGTTCATGTATTTCCTAGGTCAAAATAGACCAGGATTAAGTGTATTATGAGAACTTTGGAATATCTAAGATCAGTATGAAGGTTTGCTCAAAATCAGGCACAAAAAAGTTGAAGCTGTGAAGTGATTCTATAACAGTTTCTTTAAAAACCACATTTGAGATGGGAATTCTAAGAAATACACGTGAGCTCTGCTGGCTTTGTAATTATTTACATTGTGATGGTTGAAAAAGAAATGAATACAATTATTTCCATTGAATTTTACCAATAGTATAGAAATAGAAAAAAGGAAGCAGCTCAACAAAGTGTTTTTTCTGCACTTCCTTCCCCAGCCCCTTCTCCAAAATCACAAGGATCCAAGTAAAAGCAAATGTGTAAGCAAACCCGGGGAAATACTCCATAAAAGCAACAGGGCCAAAGCAGTGAATATTTCTATGAAAAGGAACTGAAATATCATCTGTATTTGCTTACCTTCTCAATGACTCCTGCTCCCAAACTATTAATAGCTTTAATTTTTTTTTCTGACAGCGGAGGATTGAACTGGATGGCATTTTTCTGAAGAAGGGCCAATGGTATCGTCACTAATACCTGAGAGAAATAATTACAGTCACAATGGCAGCAAAAGCTGAACTTAAGATTAATAGAATCCTCTAAAGTATCTTGGATTATTCATGTATAATACTCACCAGATACCTTAACATTAGTGTCTGATTTTACTGCACATTAATGGGGAACACATTCATTACGTTCAGGTAAGAACAGGTCTCTCAGTTGGCTGGCTTTTAGGTTGCAAATTGTTGAATTGCTTGTGTGAGTGGCAAGCCACGCTGGTAATTTTAATACCTCTCACAAACTATAGTCAGTCAGACCATCAGATTAACAAAAATTCTTTTTGATAGGGGAAAGAGTCTTTTTTTTCCTTCACAGATTCTCTCCCTTAAAAAATGGTTCAGTAACATTAGTGATGTCAATCCTCTTTTGTTAAGAACAGGTATTATTTTTAAAGTGATACCTAAAACATAATTTGCTACAAAGCAATGAAGATGTAGGAAGCAAGGGTGACTGAGAGATAAGAGGTTGTTGAGTCCTGCATCCCAAAGGAAAACATTTTAAAGGGCAGATTTGCATGTAAAAAGCTGAGTAGGGAAGGGAACCAAGGAAACCATCACTTCAAAGACCAGATAAAAATCTATGTGCTTCATATTTTTCGTTCTATCTTTATAGTCCTTGGTTCTTTAAATCAAGTAGTACTCAAAACTCAAGCACGTTCAATGAAAAATAGATTCCAGGACAGCCCAATATAGATCATTGGAATGTGTGAGTTTTCTTATGAGTGTGAGAAATTGGACTAAATAGTTTTCTGTGGAAGGGCAAAAAACAAACAAACAAACAAATGGTACGTATACTGTGGAAAATACTGTTGTTGTGTACTCCAAAATCCATAAACTTAAAGTGTATTGGGTACCTTTTGTGTTCTCCACACAGTTCCATCTGCAGTAGTGACCTGTACTTCTTCACCAGAATAGTCAATGCTCTGTACCTATTGAAATACAAATTTGTGTAATAGTTTACACTGCACACCTAGGATGCAGAAATACAGCTGTGTTTTCAGTATCACAGATTTAATATAAATAGAATTACTCAGTGCTAATGGCAACATCAACAATTTAATTTCTGATCAGTCAGAAGGTTAACAAAAGAAATTCTGAACTTGTTCTCTCTTTTCTTAGAGATAAGTTGGAATAATTGCAGCTCCACATTTGCCTGGTCAAAAAAAAAAACCCTCAAATATATGATTGGGTATGTCAAAATAAAGCAAGACAGGCATTGCATCAATATTTTCCAGACTTACTGGGAAATTTAACCGGATGTCCAGCCCTTCAGCCAACTTATCAATGATAGTGGAATATCCCACAGTTAGAAGAGTGTGATCTCCAGCAAACTGAGCAAAAAACTCATTATGGTCCCATGAGCGTGCAGATACCTGTGGACAGAACATAACCTAGCTGTCTCTACTGGTAAGGTGACATGGATTCTAATAAAAGTCCTGCAAGTTAAAAACCACCCTAATTCCTTCCACAACCTTGGCAAAAGAAAAAGAAAAAAAAGTACATGAGAACATATGGTATTGTCAACAAAAATAAACAGCTTATTTTCCCAAGGCCCCTAACTGGCTTATAATTGCTGGATTAAGGCATAATATGGCTTTGTGTCCAGCGAGTAGTTTTTAGCTCTGCTAAAAAAAAAAAAAAAAAGATAAGTTGTGCCAAAAAATGAGGTGAATTGCAGTGATTGCAGTGTACTTCAGTTTTCTCTCTAGCAAAAAAGTCAGTTTTTATAGCCCTAAGACTTGGAATAAAAATGAACTGTTTCCCAATGTGGAGGGGAAAAGGAGATATTAAAAAGAAAATCTCAGTAGAATTTGTCTCTATCTCCACAGGTTCTTCCATGATTGCTTTCACTGACATTCTCTCCCCAGCAGACTCATAGTACAATAATAATATTTGCACTTGGCAGTCACCACCTGGCAGTGAAGCAATTCTCAAACTGCTATTGAAATGACAATTCCTATCACTGCAATTGCATTCAAACCATATCATATAGTCAACAGAATACCTAGGAGTGGTGAACTGGGGCCACCATCACGGTGTTGGAACATTTTAGAAGTTAAAGGCTTTTCTTGTCGAGATACCTAGCAAGGTAGAGAAGTGCCCCAGTTTTTTTAAACACATCTGAGAAGCAGAAGTCACACAACAACATCTGAGAAAGAGTAACTCTCTGTGAATCCTACCACCCAGAATCTCAGCAAAACGCACTATTCCACTGCATATTCTGAAAGTAAAGAGGATTTCACTGCAAGTGTTTCGTGAACTCCCATTAGATTACCTAAAGAGCTGCTGGAATTTATGTCCCAATGCTTTTGAAGAACAGGTTAGGGATGTAGGAATAACTTAGGGACAGCTGACTGGGGCCACGTGGGGGATCAGAAGGCTTCTCGATGTCACTTGCAACACTATTTTCCACAGAGCTCAACCATGACAAAACACAGCTGTCAAAACTCACCTGAGAGAGATTGCTGCCACAGGCATACTCCAAATTACTGAGATGGAACTGCAGTACTTTTTCTTCCAGTTCACTGAACTGGATACCAGACTCCCGTATAAAGGCTTTATAGATCTCTTGTATTTTCTCTGTGAAAGAACACGTTTCAAATAAGGATACATCACAATTCATTGGAAGTCCTACTGCATTTCAGTATCTTCTCTAGATCACAAGATTTTCAGGCTTGTTTGTACTAAGATGTTTTTCTTGTCATAGAAAAACCACAAGATCTTTCTGATGATAAAATATAACTTTGTTGCTTAAACATAGGTTTCCACAGTAAAATATTTTTTTCTTCAAAAAGAAAATGAACGTAGCTTCTGGAAGATATTTAAAAAATTATTAAAAAATACTATGTGCAACAGCATAGCTGGGATAATCAGTTGAGACAGGAGAGACATTAATTTCCTCACTGTCATTAATATACAGTTGAAGATATTTCAGGGGGGAAAAAACCAACACTTCAGGATAACAGAATCCTTGCAAATAAATCCTGTTTAATTTAATTTAATTTTTTTAAACAAAACAAGAAGAGATGAGGAATTTGATCCAGAGTTCACTGAAGAGCACAAAGCTACTACTTTTGTCTTATTCATCCCACACTGTAAAGATTTGGGACACACCTGTTTCTGAGCATGTTTATTTGTTGTTGAATGTGCTTGCATGCTGTAAGTGGGAAATTACCAGCAGGGATGGGACCATTCTTGCCGTTGAAAGACTTTGATCAGGCTGTTTTTTAAACAGCTTAGTCATAAAGAATAGGAGTTACAGCTCGCTGCCACCTGCTTCAGCAAGGAGCAAGTCTTTTGAACTGCAGCTGCCACTAGTTATACTGCAAAAAGCTACACCATTAAAACAGGATACCACACTAAAAGTAATACAGTATTTATAAAAGCCTTCAAATTCATCCTCCTTAGAAGTTACAAAGGACTTTTTGGTCTGTGAGTATACAAGTAGTCAACTGTCCTCAATAGAACTAGGTTATCACTGCTATATTAAAGGTTAGATATTTCTAAAAATGTCTGATGTAAAAGGCATTTTAATATAAAATTCTAAATTCTGACGGTTATGAGCACAGCCAACATACTCACTTTTAAATACATCTCCCACTTACCACCAAGAGGAACATCTTGATGTTGGGTTTTATCTTTTCTCCACTCAGAGACAACATCTAGGATGGCATTGAAATGGAAGTCCATACGTTTATCAATAGTGGGATCTGTTATCCTTCCACCTTCCTGGATCAAGTCACATTTCTCCCCCAGTTTGTGCATTTTAATGCCAAGCTTAAGAAAAAGACATTTTATTGCTTTATAAGTATGGAAAAACTACAGTGCCTAGCAGCTTAAGGTTATTTAAAGAAAGATGAATCCCTCAGATTTAAATGATGTGAATGAAAAAACATCCATGGTCTTAAATAATAAGTCATATTAACTCAGACTCTTGTGCTCTGGAATACCAATGGCCCTTCCATCTCTAAGTTGTCCACAAACTGTTTTTTTCTCCAATCTTCCATTATTTTCTGTATCGGAGATTCCTTGAAACCTCGTCTCCAACTTTCCTGTCAAGGCATGGGGTAGCACGGAGATGTGTCTGGTATCAAACATAATGAACAAGTTTCTTTTCATTTTTCCTTCTCTTTATTTTCTAATCATCACTGAAATTAGTTCTTTTCAACAACTTTCTGGTGCCTGATGGCCTAACAGTTCCCTGCAGTTCAGGCATAGACAGGATGCATCTTGCCAGTTGCTGCCAGCTTCATTATCAAGCAAGCAATGAAAGAAGTGGTTTTGAATTAAACCTAGCATCTTTCTCTGCTTATCCAACTCATAGCAAAGAATTCCTTATATTCTACACAGTCAGTCTGGAGATTTTCCCTAGGGCCTTATTACTTAAGTGCACTCCAGTGTTTTTCACATATCCTTGCATATCTCTAGGATGTTTCTCCCCACTGCAGATCTCAAGACAGAGCTATGCTTTGCATGAAATATGACATCAAATAACCACATAAGGCGAGCACCCAAAATGTATTCAAAAGCCATTGCTCCTCACCTCGTAGCTGAAGTGTTTTTTTAAAAATAATAATAATAAACCCCATCATTTTTATTCTTCGTGACACCATAGAACACTAAACAGTTAAAATAGCGTGGGCTGGGTTTACATGCCTCTCTGAATAAACTCCATATTCAAGTTCCACTGGGGGAAATTCTGCTTCCTGCCCAAGAAAATCAAGCTGTGTTGTGTTTGCAAAAGTATCTGTTAAACATATTAAGCATTACTTGTTCAGAATCAAACTAGAAATGCAGAGGCCAAGCAAAGGCAAGCTGTGTATTACAATAGCATAGCAATAGCCTACCACAGTAAAGCACTTCTCAGCTCTAAAGTTCTGTCTGTACTAGAATCAGCAGTCTGCCAGGTGCCTCTTATATTTTTATCTCTAGAAAAGGGCAAAAAAAAGGAGTTTCTTCCAGTTTTGAAGCTGAAGCTGCCTTGTTTTTCTTTACATACGTAATGTGCCTGAAACCATTCTGCAGCCCTTCTCTGTCCCCATCTGTCACCAAAGATAGGACAGCAGCACAGAGTTTACTCAAAACGCAGAACACTGTTTTAATCATGCCACGAAAAGAGACTCCCACCCCTACCCACCCACCCACACCCAGCTTCTAACAACAGCCCTTCCGTAACGATAACGCATGACCACAGCAGAGAACCCACTTGCTCACACATTAGTGCCATTGGGTTGTTGACACATCCGTTGACGATTTGTGCACCTCTCCCAACAGTGACTCCTGGGAATGTCTTATCGTCCCACACTCGGCCACCAATTCTGTCTTTAGCTTCTAAGACAATGACCTGCGACACAGTGCAGTTCAGTAAATGGTGAGAACGTGGCCAACTCCAGAGCAAAGGGGAACACAAAAGAAAAACAGAAGCAAACCAACAGTGCTAAGAATCTTACTGTTTTGTTTTCATTTCTTGAGGTAGGTTATTTATACATTTAAATTGTTATTTGAAGGTTACCCTCTGGGATATGTACGCATGTACAGCAACTGATATTTCAAGAAACAATCCCAGTGGAAAATTTCAAAATATTTTTAAAAACACTAAAGACATGCTGGAAATCTCAAAATGAGAGTTCAAGGCATGCTGCACACAATGTGCAACATCCACCTAAGGACATCTATCATCCTTTTGGAGTAGTTTGTTTCAAGGCTATTCCAAGAATAGCTCATTTTCATGTTTATGTCATTCATACATGCTTCTTTCAGCATCCTGACTCAGGGTGCTGGATTGGATTGATACTTTGTCTGACTAAATACATTGATTCTTATTTGCTTTTATTTTTATCTAAATTCTTTTTAGACAAACTCTCTCCAAAACAGCAGAAAGCAATAGGAAAAAAAACATGAAGGTGTATTTAAAAACTTGACAAGATATTTCATACATTAAAAAAAAATGTCCTGCTAGTCAATAATTCCATATTTTACTGCAGGAGAGCTTCCAAAAAGTCTTGATGGACAATAAGGCTGCACTACAATTTGCTATTCAGCAGAAAAAGAGAGAGTTTATGGAGCAATAGGAGCCAGGGTTTCACTTATTAAAAAAAAAGGAAAGCAACGTGCCCATTCATTTCCTTAAACATCAGCCCTGCAAACATTTAATTCGTAAAGAATATTACTATTCTTTGATGTGTGAAGTTCTGTTAATATATTGGGATCACACTGGTAATAGTAAATGGAGGGGAAGGGAAATATGTGTGATTTGCCTGTTTAATAAACAAATAGGTGCACTAAAGTGCAGAACAGAGAAAATCTCATTTAAACAGCAATTGCCATCTACAGTTGCATTATTTATAAACAAATATCCCTGTCTCCCTTTATCTTCCCTACTCAAGTCTGCGTACAATACGCACTACTTGCCTTGTTAAAACTTAGATGAAGATAAATTCTGTCTTTAACAGAAAATTTACTCAATAAAACCCCCAATTTTGCCAATTAATTGGGATGCTCCATGCTTAGATGTTTCTAAGAACAAGGTTATTTCTTCATTTTGAGGAAGAACATTTCCAAAGCAGAGAAAATCTTGTTTTTTCAAGTAACATACTCTAAAGTTTCTTACCTTAATCCCAAAGTTGTGTAGCTGTCGTGCTGCTGCTAATCCTGCTGCACCAGCCCCAACAATAATGACAGATTTCTATAAAATAATGTTCAAATACATAGAAGTAGTTAAGAACTAAAATATAAATGATAGCTGCAAATTTGTTCTTCTTGCTAAAGTTGAAGTACCCTTAGATTTCAGAAATGCAATTTTAATTGCAGATGTCTCAAATTCTTTTAACTGGAACAGTTCTCACACAAATAACACACTTAGCTTGTAACAATTCCAATCACAAATTGGGGCGATCAATAAAAGCTTTTTTATAAACTGGAACACATGCAGATACACTCTCCACACAGAAATCAACTTTTTCTTGGAGGTTTCTATTACAGAATGCAATCATTATATAAATTTCTGCATTCTGTCATGAAAATTGCTAGTCATAAATATATACCCTTTAATCGTGGCTCTTGCAAACCAGAACATAACATGAGTTTCCTCACCTATGGAAGCAGAGATGTATTCCAGGATTAAGGCACAAGAAGAACCTAAGCATACTGCGTGTTTTTCCCCCACATTTCCCACCCATCTGAAAAGTGTAAAGAAACTTCAAATCCACTGGGTTGGATTCCACAGATACTGTGGGAACACAAACCTGGCTGGCAAAACTCCCATCTCTGCTGTTTCTGTGAGCACAGGTAGATGAGGTTAGGATGGATATCAGGATAGTTAGGTTGGATATCACGATAGTTAGGTTGGATATGAGGAAACACTTCTTTACAGCAAGAGTTGTTAAGCACTGCAATAGGCTCCCCAGGGAGAGGGTTGAGTCACCATCCCTGGATGTGTTTAACAACCATTTGGATGTGGTGCTCAGGACATGATGTAGCAGAGGGTTGTTAGAGTTAGGGTAGGATGGTTAGGTTGTGATTGGACTCGATGATCTTGAAGGTCTTTTCCAACCTGAGCAATTCTATGATTCTATGAGGACCATGTGAAATATGTTTGCTTTTAGAAGTAATTCCGACACAACTTATCCATGTCATTTTATAGTACTGACAACAGAGGGATTGTTACAGCTACTTACATTGTGGTATTCTTTAGGAAGAAGATACTGGTCAGTACTGACTGATAAAATCCCTGTATTAATTAGCCCTTTCCTTGTCATGAAATACAGGATCCTCGCCATTTCCTGTACGCAGCGAATACGCACAAGCCCTCGAACAATTATATGATGGATACATTTTTGAGGGGTAAGAGCCTCCTGTAGAAGAGAAAAAAGGGAAAAAAATACAGTATTGGTAGTTCAGTATTTGATACTTTCACATGTTTGCAACATATTTGCATTGTAACCCACATGATAAAGGTTAATCGTGAATCATAGGGGTGCCTGAGAATTTTTTAAAAGCAATTTTTGTGGAAGTTTCTTGCCAGTCAGCCTTACAGAGTAAGGTAATCATTTCTCTCTTCCGAGTTTCATTTAAATAAAAAGCTAAATTAACTTGGAATAAAAGCATAAGTGTAAAAGATATTCTTGCAAACTCCATGGTATGCTGCATGAGCACAAGAATGGTACTGAAATCCATCCCTGACTGCAGGTGGCAGCGCTCATGGTTACATTCCATTAAAATTCATTTTTAAATGGCATTCAGAATAAAAGCTAGATGAATATCCAAAATCTTCACAGTTATAATGCAGATCTTGGGGTCTGAAAAGCTTCTATATGTGAAATTCTAGTTGACTCTTGATTTTGTTTCTATTAAATATGAATAGAAGCAATTTCATTGAAGGCTAGTATTGTAGAATAAATGAAAGGAGAAAGACAATCATTTACTTGTCCAACATTCTTATGAGAAAAAAGAATACTGTCAAGCACACACAAACAACTGTTTAGAAATGTCCAAACGTCAAATAGCTGAGCAGATTTAGTGAAGGATGAATGCTTTTAAAACTTCAGCATTTACCATAAAAGAAGGTCCTAGGCATTACAACTAAAGGTGGAGTGGAAATCCAATCTTGGAAAGAATTTTCAAAAGGACAGAAACAATTTTTGCTGGTTCATAAGGCTCCATATAGAAATAGAGTCCAATTCCTTTGCCTCCTCCCACTTAGAACCTCCTCCTCCCATAACAGCAGTTATTTGCAAACAAACAAATGAACTTTTAGCAGTTACCTTGCAGTTTGTGTACCACAGAGCCAAAATCAGGTTTCTCAAGGCCAAGTACATGGTAGGATCTCGTGAATATTCTGGGAACTCATAGAGCTCATCCAGTTCCATGACATCTGGCCTTACACAAAGTGCTTTCCCACATTCATTGGGCTGGTAAAAAGGCTGGAAATATTTGTTCATTCCTGCAACTGAATAAAGACACACACACACACACAAAAGAAATAGTCATATTCTGTTTTATCTACTTATCCTTTTCCCTTTAAGACAATTCATTGACCTGGCACAGATAAAGAAGCCAGGAAGCATCCCAACCTCTAGCCACTTTTTAGAATGATTTCATTTTATATGGCTTTCCCTTTTTCTACACTCCAGGCTGTGTAGCACTAATTACTGTTGCTCTTCCCAATGATGGGCCTTGAGTTTGAATTTTGTCAGAGAAGCAGCGCATGCCCTCAGATGCCATGACTGGTCCAACACGGAACAGGATCTGAATTGGAGTCTAAAGCCTAGCACTGCTGTACAGGCTCATGGAGTCCTCTGAACTGCTTTCATTTTCAGCTCCCAGCTCCACCCAGAGTGAGCAGTGACTAAAAGTAATCATCTTCCACATGCAGCACTAGCAGCTCTGTATAATGAAGTTGGTTTCCTGTTTATAAAGCAGGTAAATATCTGCTGAATAGATGAGCGGATTTATTTTCAGCACCTAAGGAGAACAAAGCCTGCTAGGATAACACAAAAGCAGAACTTCCCTTGAAGTACTCTGAGCCAGTGCTGAGGTATATCAATAAGGATGAGTATGGGAATCCTGAATTACCTTCTTTCTATTTTGCAGATCTCACTCCCTGATTGTCAGTCTCAGAGCTACTGCTAGCAAAAAGTAGCCTAAACAAAATCCATGTGCCGTAAGAAATCTAATCCTTTTCTGCAAAGCCTCAAAGATCCTCAACATCAAAACTAGCAGAAGTAAATGTTGTTATTACAAACCTTAATTTCCTTAAGAAAACAAATGATCTTTCAATACTGGAATGTTAACTTCCCATTTCTGTTACCAAATGGCAGGTAGTAATCAAAAAGCCTATGAGGTCTGTGCTTACACCTTAAAGAAATGCATTACTTTATCTTACAAATGAATAAATTACGACAAAGAAGTAGAGAGGCAGTCGCACAGAGGGTTTGTATTAGTGCTGAGAACAGAACTGGTGTTTCTGAGTCAGGAGCTTTGTGTGCCTTATAAACTCAGTTATAAGACAACAGTCATCACACCTATTTAAGGAACAGAGCCCTGCAGATGGCCCTTACCAGTCAAATTAGGCACGCTCTTTAAGTGCTCTAACTTCACAAGGTTGGATTCACCAGGTAAACGATTAGTGCTGGTACAGGATGGACTCATGCCCACGCAGTCTGGATAATATGCAGCTAGAAAGGGAGCTGCCACACTGTCTTTCAGCAAAGGAGGGAGTATGAGCATGGAGTACCACCAATGGTCTGAAACTTCAGCCACTCTCTGGCCAAGCGGAGAAGTGAAGGAAAGAGGGGAGAAGAGAACACGTCAGTACTTCGAAAATGTAAAATGAACCAATTCCCCCCTCCCTCCAGAACTGACACCAAAAAGCGCTAGAAGTACCAATCTCAGATTTGCAAGTCATAAAGACATTTTCTCTCCCTCTTTCCCCGTCCTCAGCCTGACACAGAAAACTAGCAGTATTAACTGAGCTGAAATTTCATGAAGTCCACACCCATGTGGAAAACAAACAGATGAGACATGCCACGACAGTGCACCTATGCCTTACCAGGCCCTTGATAAAACATTTACAGTTGCTCGTGCAACCAGAAATCTGAACTTAGAAGTCTAAACTAACTGACTGATTTAATATAAATTCTGCTATCCCCATCAAAGACCTTCTAAAACCCTAAGAAATGCTACTGATTCAGCCTTGTTTTACAAAGCAAACATGCATTAAGGAAACAAAACGACCAAGTTTCCACAGCAGTCAACAGTTATTATGAACGTTTCCTGGGACAGAGGTCCCTCAGGTACACTTGCCAACACTGGCTTATCAGATCATACTCAATCTGAAATGTGAGGTTACATGATCGTAAAATGATTGCAACACCAACATGCATCATGTATTGTATATCATGTATATTAGGAGGTAGAGGAGAGAGAAAACATGTTTTGGCTTTCCTGTGCACTTTTCAGAAAGAGGAGACAAGCTTAACTGAAGATGGAAACCACCTGGAAGAGAGGGAAATCTGGGGATGGGGATTTTTATTTGAAAACTGGCAGCTGAGTGCTGGTTTGCCTGATCAAAAATGAGAATGAGGAGTGAACCTTGTATCACTGGCCACAACTCAAAGACATCAAGAACCACTTGAAATCTAACCGGTACAGTCAGGGAAGAGAGGAAAAAAAGATAAGAAAGTAGAAGGTCCTAGGCTCTGTTGCAAATAGTGTCCTTTGCAAAATGCATAAATACTGCTACAGTTGGCCAAAAGACCATGAAAAGGAAAGACGTATGCCATGCTTTGGGGTTGTTTTCGGAACAAATGAGGAGGAACAGCTGCTACTCACCAAGTCCTCAGGCATGGAACATTGGTCAGAGCCCTCCGTCTGAAAGAAAAGTCAATTGAATCAGAGCTATTCTTACACTGTACAACAAAAATTAAATATAAAACAAAGCAATTTGGCTATGGCATGTTTCCTTAAACCAAATAATGCATTCATGTTAGCTTTCTGTATTACGGATGTTTGTATTAGTAAAAGTAAGTAATAGAGAAATGTATAGTTAAAAACACAACACACCAAAAAAACCCCAAAATATACCAGAAAATGTTTCTCATTTGTGGAATTAAATAGTCTCTATTGATCAGACATTAGAATATGTGTCTTATTCCACAAAATGGAGTGGAACACTAAAACAAATCGGAAGGGAAAAAAAAATCTGGGAAGATTCTACATTTTCCAGTCCAGACTATAAAACCAAAATTCCTTAACTTATTTCAACAGTATCACAAAGTTCCAAGATGAAATGTTATGTTTTTTACAAAGAAGATTCTGCGGCATTATAAGGACTCTTTTTCAAGAGTTATCTTCATGCCAAAGCTGAAAATTTCCCATGATAAAACTTGCTAGAAGTTACCAAAAGCTCACTGAACTTTTCAAACATTTTTCTCAATAATGAGTATGGCTTGACAAACTAAAACCAACATTGTGATGCATGTCTATTTTGTATATTCTGATAATCTTTTCATAGCTTCAGAATGAGTGATTTTATAATTCTACAGACAGAAAGTATTTCAAATTCTTCTTTCTTGATATTTTCACTCAGGATATAGAAAAGGCCAAACAGCTTGTAGGCCTTTCACCGTGCAACTCTGCAGGCCATCAGGCAACTGTTCTTAAATTAGAAACATTAAACAGCAAAGTAAGGAGTAAATAATATCTGCAAAAAGAAAAATCTACTTGTTACTAGTTTCCATATGAGCAAAAGTCTTCTGTGTTACCTTGGTGGAATTGTTTAGTTTCATACCACATCTGTAGGTTTTTGCTATTTGCGGTGTCAGCTGGATTTCCTTTGTCAGCTGACGCCATTTACCACACTCTGGCTTTGTACACTGCACCTACAAGTCAAAAAACAAACATGTTTTTACTTGTTACTGGCTGATCATAGATAAGGCTAATGAAGCCTCGATAACCAACTGAAAGGAGGTAGATGTGAGGAAATTCTTAAATGCAGTTGTTAAATTCATTCTCGTATAACATTCAGGTGTAAGTTTGTATACTAAGTCTTGCACTGATTTCCTAAAAGACTGAATTTCACCACAGAACCTAATCCAAAATTGATTCAGGAGCCATTACTACTTCAGTGGCTTTTGCAAGCATTGCTGTGAAAAGTATATCATGCACTACTTCAATACACTTCATTGTGGCCTCCCAGTATTTGAAAGGGGCGTATAAATAGGAAGAACAACTGTTTACAAGGCTGGATAGTGAAAGGTTAGGGGGAATGGTTTTAAACTGAGACAGGGGAGGTTTAGGTTAGATATTAGGAAGAAGTTTTTCACCCAGAGGGTGGTGAGGCACCGGAACAGGTTGCCCAAGGAGGCTGTGGATGCCCCATCCCTGCAGGCATTCAAGGCCAGGCTGGATGTGGCTCTGGGCAGCCTGGGCTGCTGGTTGGCGACCCTGCACATAGCAGGGGGTTGGAACTGGATGATTATTGTGGTGCTTTTCAACCCAGGCCATTCTATGATTCTATGGTATGTTTTGTTAAACTTTATCCCATTCTCATCTCTTTTTCTCTTCTACTCCCTTCAATGTGGAAATATAAAAATCAATGTTTTGCAAGTCTTTTACACTCAAAGTTCGCTATAGCTGGTATGTCCCATTTTCCCCACTATCTGAATATTATACATCTTAGCTGGTACTCCAACAAAAAGCAATAGAAAGGTGTTCTCTGTGAGACTTGGAGAAGGTGTCCAACAATAGAGAAGCTGATCAGAATTACAATCTTGAGCTTTTCTCTAGCCCCTGTAAAAACTCAGCTGACCTGCTGCCTAATCATACAATATCAGAAAGTTTTTCAGTTCAAGAAAGGAGAAGATGGAAAAGACAGGGCAGGGGAGTTAATTTAAACATCCATTCAGAACTGTATACCTTCACAATTTAACATCACATTGAAATACACCATATTCCACAAATCCACTGTCCACCTTACCCAATAAGGGAGCTGCTGATCAGCCATGAAGGCTTTTGGACTGGGCTCACTTTTCCCATTACTTGTCCAAATCCTTTTCCAGGCAGTGTATTTCTCATAACCATCTTTATGACTAAAAAGAAAGAGAAAAAAAGGCAGGCTGTTAGGAAACAGAATGATCTAGTTCATTTTAAGCAACAGTGGTTATTCTAAAATTAAACCTTTTATGTAAGGACAGAGAAATAAGGCTGAAGAAAGTCCTATATTTTTCCTATTAAAAACAAAGCAAGTGTTGTGGTTCTTATGATAGCAATAAAGAGCATCCTGGCCACTATATCCTCTTGGTAATGGGCACACTTCCCAGAAGTTAAAATGGGGACTGAGTTACAGGTGCTGCTGAGTTCGTAAGCACTCAGAAATCTTAGCAGAGATGGACTCAGTTCCCACAAAAACAGAAAGGAGCCTGGAGTTCAAAGCACTTCCTGACCCTGACCTGAGTCTTCACAGTCACTGAAATGAAAGCAAAACCTGCTTGCTGGCTTTGGTCTTATTCTGAGCCAAGTTCTCTCTCCTTAGCTCACATTATAAAGTGAATCTGCTGTCCAAGGGAAAATGGATGTACTTAAATCTACTCACATCTTTTAAAATTCTCTGCTGTTGTTTTAAAAGAGAGGAAAGCTTTAGAATAACTGTACCTGTAGAACAGCCTAGGTAAAGTCACTGGTTTTGCTGATGCTACACGTTTATGCTGATGATTAGTCCATACAACACCTGCAGTTTTAACACCAGTATCTAAGCATCATTTCAAATAAAGCAAGCACAGAGGATGAATCCTCGTATTATTCACAAATATATGAGGTCTCTTCTCTCGTATCATCTGTCAAATTTTAATAAGTATTGAAAAGGCACAATCTTAATTGGCAAATCTACCTTCGGTAGTAGTGGTCAAAACATTCATTGCAGAAGTGCTCCCCACAGGAAAGATGATACCATCTAGACGTATAGCCATTCTTTGCACATCTGAAATGCAGAAATACAGAAATAGCTTTATGGTACAATTCAAAAGCCCTATTAACAATAGCACATTCTAGAACATGAACCAAATATTCGGGACAAGCCAGGACATTATGTTATGTTCACGAAGGCTGTCTTGCACGAGGCACTGCAGTTATTCAAATGACAATAACAGGAAGATCATTTCAATTGTCTCAGACACTTCCAGTTCCCAAACGAAGCAACACCAGATGCAAAGGAGGCAAAGTGTGCACAATAAGCAGTTTTACAATTGGCCTGGCTTCCAGCAACCTCTCTCCAACAGTGGTCCACTGAGCCCTGCTTTAGTAACCCGTAAGTAAATGCTTCCTGAACACAAAATAGAGTTGTTTTTATATTGCCTATTGTGACACACAAAGCATTTTCCAACTGTGTAAGGCAAAGTCTCTCTCTGTAAGAATTTATCATTTCTTTACCTTTTTTTCATTCTGTTCTGGTACTGGTGCAGCAGTGGGAGGGGGGTCATCTTGATGAGTATTTTTCTTATATGAGAAATCAGTGGATTCACAAATCATTACAAGATCTATTCCCCAGAACAGCTGACACAACTATATATGCAAGTCTGAACACAAAACAGATGTTGCCTTTTTTTTTTTTTTACATGATCAAGTTGGCTGCAATTTTATCCCAAAGAGGGAAAACCTTAAGGAAACCCTTACACATTCTGGACTTTTATTCTTTATTGCTCTTGGAAATAAGTGCCTATTAGCAAAGGTTATATTCATTATGCAAAGCAATCACTCTTTGCTTAGAGAACTCTCATTAAACTCAATGAAATGACTCAAGATAAATGTACAAGGTAAAAAGCAGTGACCTAAGGTACTAATTGAAATAGACAGTGGTAAAATGATCTCATCTCAAATAAATAATGTTGAAAGTATGTATTCTAGTGGAAATATATATATCTCTGTATGTAAAGTATAGAATCTATCACAACATTAAAATAATATTTAAAAAAAGATTATGCAACATCTGTTGCTTCAAAAAATAACATCACTAAAACTGATTTCTCAGGTACTCCTTTCCCCTAACAGTCTCTTACACAACTGCTGAAACACTTGGCTTTCCTGTGACAACATTTAACTCCAGCTAACAAAGAAGAATTCTCATAGGTAAGTAAACGAGGCATTGGAGTATTTTATATCATTGGAGAATAAATAAAATGAGGAAAGTTCGTCCAATTAACGAGGGAGGGAACAATGCCATGTAATTACAGTCTGCCTGCTGCATAATGAGGTCTGATACGTTTCTTTTTATAGATACTGAACACACAGTACTGACGAGATGCATCTCCAGGGTCAGAATGCAAAAGGGCTGGCATTAGCACACTGAAAGTCACAAACAAGTTGAGAACAAGGAGTTCAAAGACGTACGTTTGTCTCCCAAGTCCTAAAATGTCAAGCTCAGAGTCTCACCTCGGACTGCAAAACATTCCAACAACAAAGCGATCAAGAATTTCTGCAGTAAACTGTTTCATTTTCCATCTTGAAAGCAAGTTTAGCTTCCTCAGGTTACACTCAGATGCTCTTGGTTTCACAGTAACAAGGCGTGTTCCAGAGGACGCCATTAATAACATCAATGGGCTTATATTAAGCTGAAGATACACTCTATCAGAATTAGCAACTCGCGTGGTAGAACCTTAACCACAAACTGAACAACCTGTGACACTTTCCTGGCACCTTAAGACTGGTATTAGTGTCCTTCAGTTCTCCCTCTACACTTGGGAATGAAGGGATTTTTCAAAATGTGGTTAGAATTTCAAACAGCAAGCTTAGAAGAGTCCACGAAAAAATGCAAATAAAAATAAACAAACCTTTCGGCTGCGCTGGCAAAGCAAACGGGACACGTTGCGGTGCATCCAGCTTTCTCACATTTCCTGTATTTCTTTTCTGATGCATCATCATCATCATCTGTTGCCTCGGCTGCTTTCTTCTTCACCTAATAAAGAATAGCTGAAATCTGACCAGAACCGACACAGGTGTGTTTTCTAACAGAGGCATTCAGACAGTCCTGCATCTTGTGGCATGGCATCGAATGGTAGAAAGGACACAAACTAAACTTTCTGAATCCACTGTGAAATAGCTGCAGCATGAAACAGCTGTTCAATTAGGTCATTTTTTTTCTATCTCCCCCCAGAAAAAAAAACAAAAAAACAAAAAACAAAAAAAAACAGAACAGTAAGGATGGAAATATCATTTAAAGTTAAAAATGTCTTGCCTTAGCTTAACTCGCCTTAGCTTAACTCAGACCATTGAAGAAATTATAAGCAAAGCCTCTGGTTTAAATAGTATTTTAAGCTCCATCACATGCTAATGAGTCAAGCCTCAGGCGTTCTTTTTATTCCACCTTCAAAAAATCTCTTCTTCATGTACTAACTGATGTTAATTAGCCACGATCCTATCTGCACCTCAAACAAAATATTAGGGCTGGTTTGGAGGAATTTTTTTGGAGTCCAGATACAAAACTGTATACCAAATGCCTCTTATGGTCTTCGGAGATGCTGTGTGTCACATTGGTTTGGGTCTTGGACAGCCTGGTTCGGCTGCACGGAAAGCTCTGGTTGCAATTTTAACACATCAAGAATTTTCAAGTTATACTGAGCATTTGTGTCTTCCGAATACTGTTGATAAAAAAGAAGCTTTGCCTACTTCTTCACAGAACTGACTGATTCTCCCTCTTCCTGCAAAAACGTTCTATCCCTGAAGTATCCACAGTGAAACACCTTCTTTATAAACGTTAACAGAAAATGCACATACAAGAGTGTCAAACTGTTATAAATACCTGTCTTCCAGAACTCCTCAGAGGAAGGCTGTCTGGAGACTGCTCTGAAGAACATGCCTTTTTCTTTGTTCGTACCCTTCCAGCTGACATTGTATTATTAGACCTGTAAAGAAAAAGGTAGGGAGAAGTTAAGAAAAAAATAATAATTGGTTGAATTTGCAGAGAGCTATCCAATCACCTGGACAGTACAGCCACACTTACACTGCTTCTCCTGTCAGAGTAACCTGGACAAGAATCTGTTCAGCCTACCTAGTAACTCAGGATGGAAATGAAGGTGGCACGATGGGGAAATGAACAACGATCTTATTTTAATCTAAAATCAGAGTTAAGATTAGATCCTTGAGTACATCTTGACAGACTGGTCCAGATCAGCATACCCTGGATTTCAGTAATCTGATTTGTGTTACGTGATGATCTGGACTGGAATTAGGGTCAGCAAAGTGAGTAGATTCAGTTCACAATGTGAGCTCTGAAATCCAAGCCTTCACAGTGCTCTTCTCATTGACAACTGATTTATTGGTAGCAAGAGAGCTGCACAGTACAGCACTTTTATTCAGATGTTCACCACCAAGTGAAAAACCAGTTCCAAAACTGGGATTGTTTAGGTTGGAGGAGACTCTGGGGAGACCTCATAGCTCTACAGCTACCTGAAAGGAGGTTGTGGCTAAGTGAGGGTCAGCCTCTTCTACACAGCTGGTGAGAGGATGAGAGGTAATGGCCTCAAATTGCACCAGGGGACACAGGTTGGATGGGAGAAAGAGTGGTCAGGCACTGGAATGGGCTGCCCAGGAAGGTGGCTGAGTCCCATTTAGATGCTGTACTGAGAGACGTGGTTTAGTGAGGAAGTATTGATGGTAGGTGGATGGTTGGACTGAATGATTTTGGAGGTCTATTTCCAACCTTGGTAATTCTGTGACTCACACACCCTCCTGTGAACGTGCATCACAATTTAGGGTCTAAACATTGTGATGTTAGTTAACTGGGAGATCACAAATGCAGTTACTAAACTGCTTCAGGAGAGAAGTTCTACACCACAAGGGAGATCCATGTTTGTATTTAACCACATCCCTGGGAACAGGAAGAAGGCCACAGTTCATCATGTAATCTGGAAAGCAACGGAGTATGAGAAAGTACACTGCAGAAATGGGAAAGCATATGTAAAGCATTATAATCAAAGGTATTCTTTTTGCAGGGATTAAAATACAAATAAAATAGCTTGCAGGAAGAATTAAATCTAACTGCACTCCACCATACCTAAAGGAAACAGACTACAGCACTGAATCTTGAATGTTATCTTGGTGTAATAGGGATCAGATTGCAATTTTTTATTACTATTTTTATGTATGTATTTGTATTATATCTGGGATTTCTTTCTGTTGTTCCAGGCTGCATCCTCCTCATTCCAACTGACAGCATGGAGTGCTAGCAGTGCTTTCGTTCACTGATTCTCCTAAGTAAAGGTAGCAGCAAGAGAGAATGGGAGTTGTTACAAAGTTTTCTGCTCTCCAGGTAGGAGGAACTGATTTGAGTGCAGAAAGGGGAAAAAAAGCAAAATCACAGGATAACCACATCTGTGAGAAAGTAACTGAGCTCAGGAAGCCAACTCAAAAATTAACTTTTTTTTTTGTATGCAAACATTATATGTAACTAGAGGGAGAAAAGATATATCTTTTATTATGCCAAAAAAGCAACTGCAGTCCACCATAGCTTGCCACTGTATGGAGGTGGCTGTGGTTGGAGAAGAGAAAGGAAAGCCAACTAGTGCCACTTAGATGACATTTCCCAAAAGTACCACTTCAAGCCCCAGGAAATGAAAGTCAGGTTTTGCTGACAGGGCTGTCCAGTAGCACAACAGTCACAGAAACACAGAATGGTTTGGGTTGGAAAGGCCCTCAAAACCCATCCAGTTCCAAATCCCTGACATGGGTAAGGTTGCCACTCACACCAGCTCAGGCTGCCCAGGGCCCCATCCAACCTGGCCTTGAACACCTCCAGGGTTGGGGCACCCACAGCTTCTCTGGGCAGCTGTGCCAGTGCCTCACCACGCTCACAATGAAAAATCTCTCCCTGACATCCAGTCTAAATCTTCCCTCTTTTAGTTTGAAACCATTCCCCCTTGTCCTATCAACAGTATCCTTTCGCATCATCTCTCTATCGCCTCAGCTGATCATCCCTCGCAGCCAGGCGGGGGCTGCAGGCGGTCAGAGCCCATCCCAAAGTCAGATGCAACCCCATGTACGTGGGGCTGGGGGGGAAATCAAGAAACAGCCACTGTCCACTGAGAAGTTTGGTGAAAATGTCGCCCATTCGGAGGGCCTCCCGCCCTGATAGGCAGAGAGCAGATGTAGGGAAGCACGGATGTGTTTCTGTCGTGGATGCTGCTGGCAGGGGATGAGGCAGAAGGTGGAGAAGCGGTGGGTTTGCAGATATAACTGCATTAAGGCCATTGTTTCCAGCTCTACACCACTTTCCCTTCGCTTCCCCTCCCAAAAGCCCCACACCTCCCACTCCCACAGCTTTTTCAAGAGCAGCGGACACTGCCTACTTCGCTACGCTTTATGCGACTCTGCGCACCCTATCATCACAGCGCCAGAGGAAAGAGACCCTTTAAAGGGGAAAGAGACACACATCGCTACGCCGTGCCACGTTCCGTACCGCTTCATCCCCGTAACGCCCGGCCTGTGCGGGGAGAGTTGATAGCAAGTTTGCAATGGGGGAAAAAAAAAAATTAAAAGAAGGAAAGAGAAGAAAATAGAAACCACACACACACAGCCCACACCCAGGAAGCGAGAGCAGCCGGTGAGCCGCGGCCGGGCGCAGCCCCAGCGCGCTGACAGCAGCCTCCCCGGAGTCCCCCGACCCTGACAGCGTCCACGGTGCGCTCACCTCGGGTCCGGCTCGTCCGGGGGTCGGAGAGCGCATCCACGCGTGCCCGAGCCGCCTCCTGCTAGAGCTGCAGCGGGGAGAGAAGGGGGGAAGGATGGAGGGGGGGGCGCGGCGGTGAGCTCGGGGGGGGGCTGCGCCTGCACCTGCACCTGCCCCGCCGCCGGGCCGGGGGCCGACGTGCAGCGGGGCTCACTCACCGCCGCGGCCATCCCCAGCGCCATCCTCCTCCTCCTCCTCCTCCTCCTCCTCCTCCTCCTCCTACCGGCGCCCTCAGCCCGCCTCCCGTCGCCGCCGCTTCCGCTCTCCGCGGTGCGTAGAGAGGGAGGCGCCGCCCCGGGTCGGCCGAGCCGCCGTGCAGGTGCCGCCGTCGGGAACGGCCGCGTCGAGGGGTTCGTCGGAGGGGAGATGGAGGAGCCGGGGGGCTGCGGGAGCGAGGCGCAGCGGGAGCGGGTGCTGTCCGTGGAGGAATGGCTGCGGAAATGGAGCGCGGGTGCCACCGGCTTCCATAAGGAGCACAGGCATCCGTAGGTCGCTTCGCTCTCCGGCCCGGGCGCAGTGCTGGGGGCGGGATGAGCGGCTCTCGGTGATAAGTGCGGAGCTTACGGCAGGGAAAACGATCGGTACAACCGCGGCCTGAAACTGAAGTCGTTGTTGTCACCTACGTTTGTTTAAAAACGGCGGAGAACGTTCAATTCGCACTGCGTTTAGAGCCTTTATTCCTTAAACCGTGTTGTAAACGATGAGCTTTAGATGATTGGACCGAAGCCCCAGGTCTGATGAAGCGACAGCTTCACGCTGCTGCTGGGTGTGAGGGGTGGGAATGGACCTGAAAGCTGTGCAGGGCCCTGGGGCAGCGAGTGTGCTGGGGGACCGGGCCCAGGGTGGAAACCCAGCCATCATCCAACGGGAATTGCCTGAAAGCCATTTCTAGAGGAGTGGTACAGCAGTTTAACCTGCACTGTTTGAGTGGCCCACCAAGAAATGGGGTCGTTGCTTTGTTACCTGAAGAGACAAGCAGAAAGGTGTCCCTTGCTAGCAGAAGTGGGGGTTATTTTCTAAGAAAATGGAAGGTGAATTCATTTATTTGTATTTCTAATGGTATTTCTGACTATGAATATGTATTGCATCAAAGGGTTTGGGCACTGCCTGGCGTGCTGTGCAGCACCTGGCTCCTCTGTGCCAGCACCCACAACTCCTCCTAATGCTGAGTGAAACGCCTCTGTTCCCCTGCAGGCTCCTACAGAAGCACCTGGACCTTCTGGTGGATGGCAGGAATGGGCTGAGGATATTTTTCCCTCTTTGTGGTAAAGCAGTCGACATGAAGTGGTACGGAATGGCAGGGATCGTGACAGGAAAAGCCTTACTGGTGTGGGGAGGGGAGAAGGGAAATTCCCAGCCCTGTAATGGCTGGTGGAAACATGCTGCTGGAGGCAGGCTGTGGGGAGGAAACAGT